TGGGATAAAGCAACTGATGAAGTGCTTACACATTTATCTCCCAGCACGTGTATTTTTTCTGCTTCGATAATTTCTCGGGTAAGTTGCTCCCTGTGCCTTGCCAATATAGAGCACTGATCAAAGAGGGGGGTGCACCCACAATCTCGGCAATGAATGCCAAGATGCCCTTGTACCACACTGTGCACATTGTTTCGGTGTTCTCGCAGGCGGTCGTTTATGCACCTGCCGGTTTGGCCGACATAGACGCACCTACACGTCAGTGGAATTAAGTATACGACTCCCACTGCGCATGGGACGTAGCATGTCCTGTGCGCGACAGAGCACGCGGCAGAAGTTGCGCGAGGTGTATTTACCCGTTTGCAAAGCTTCTGCAATTTTTCAGGTGCTGAAAAAACAACAAGAACGTTGGCGTCTCGAGCAATCTTTTTTAGCCTGTGTGAGACGTCGTGCACGTACGGTAGTACGACAGGCCGGCTCTTTCTGACGCTGTTTCGCTTATCTGGTTTGTTGCCTCGTTTCACGACAGTGACCAGCTTTTCCGCCACTGAAACGAGAACGTGTGCGGGGTAACCGGCTTTTGTTGAGGCGCTCCACTTGTAGAGCAAAGCTGCGGTGTACCATGTGGGGGCAAGACTTCTTTAAGGCGTTGGCAAGGCAGAGGTTAGCAATGCCCTGCTTGACCAATTTTGATTGAGCTGAGCCGAAAGGCAGAAGTGGCTTGCCGCTTCTTAGTTCATCCATCCAGCAAACATGTCGGGGTTCTAGCAAAAGCTTCAAATCTAGAAATTTCAGGTTGTTATCAGTGGGTGATTCATACGTTAAAACTAATGGTTTCAGGCACTCTCGGAAAACAGTCAACGCGTCAGAGGAAATGGTTTGAAAATTTTGACTGCTACATTTAAACAACACTAAATAATCATCAACAAAACGGCAGACTTTAAAAACCACAGAGTCATCAAGTTTGTTTGACAAGACACGATCCTGATGTGCAGCGCTCCTTCTGTCTACCCTGTTCTTTTTTCCTTTGTTCGCGCGCTGAAATACCTTGCAAATATGAATAGGCAAACATGCCATATCTGATGAAAAAAGAAAAAGTGTGGCGCCTGCGCGCGACGCATGGCAGTCACAGCAAAGCATTTGTCAACTAATTTGTGTGACTTTGCGTCTATCTATCTATCTATCTATCTATCTATCTATCTATCTATCTATCTATCTATCTATGTATTTATCTATCGATCTATCTATCTATCTATCTATCTATCTATCTATCTATCTATCTATCTATCTATTTGTCTATCTATATATTTATCCATTTATCATTCTATCCGCCTATGACTTTTCGCGTTGCTGGCCGTTTCGATAAAGAAATCTATACCTAAAATTGTATGGCATAACACGAGTCTTTGACGAGCATAAGTGACTAGTCATACTATGAAAATCATGACAGGTGTGTCATGAATATCATCATATACATGTCAAAATCTTGCTGCTCTTGCGGTGGTTTCGTTCACATAGTTTATTGAGAATCTGGTATAGTATGACGTGACTGCATGGTGAACGTAAGTGACAAGCTCGTATCTGGTAATCACGGAATACATGACATGTAACGCATGACTACATGCTACATCATGGTGGGCTTTCGGCCGTTTCGCAAGCTTAATCTATACAAAATTTGGTCTTCCTTGACGTGAATAGATGACAACGGCATATGACTGGTGCAAATATGATAATAATGACATGCGTGTTATGTAAGAAGATCACTACATGCCACACTCCGACACGCTGGCTGCCGTTTCACTAGCTTCCCATATACCAAGTTTGGTATTCCTTAACGTGAATCTACGGTGATGATAAATAACACGAGTAAACATGATATTCGTGATACGCTGTCATGTAAGACATTACATGCTACGTTCATAGCACGCATGCGGCCGTTTCGCTAGCCCTACATAAAACAAATTTGGTATTATGGGATGTGAATAAACAGCGAAGGTAAACTACAAGCCCAAACTTGATAATATAGGTATGCGCGTCTTGTAAAACATGAACACGTGCTACGCTCACAGCACTCGTGGCCGTTTTTCTAGCTTCACCTATACCAAGCTTGATATGGATGACGAAGGTATAGTAATGTTGCAAATATGATAATATTGACAAGCTTGTCATGTAAGAACATGACTACACGCCACAATTCTGATGCGCTGGCGGCCGTTTCGCTAGCTTCACGTATGCCAAATTTGGTATTACGTGATGCGAACTGATGACGAAGATAAATGACATGTTGAAGTACGACGACAATGACATAGATGTCATGTGAAAAATGACTATTTGCTAAGCTCATAGCGCAATCGCGGCAATTTCGCTAGCTTCACATATACGAAATTTGGTATTACGTGACCTGAATGGCCGCAAACACTAGTTCCAGGCGCAAGCATGATAATCATTACCTGGGAGTCATGTTCGGAATAATTTACAAGCCTACCAGTGATAGTACTGGTATTACAATCGTTAGTGGTGCCGTTGCTAGGCGACTATAAATGTCATATTTGCATCTTATCTAGATACATTAGTGCGCGCAACATTCATACTTGTGTTAAGTGTGTACTACAGCAGTCCGCTTTCTATGGCTGGCCTGATATTAAACTGACCTATCAACATCCTTCATTCTCGCTTCGCATATTATCAATCTCCAGTTTACGTGAGATATGTTGGTTTTTTCAACACTCTTTGTGTAGCTGCTTCAAGCAGTGTTACAGGGTCCCGACCACGCCATAAATCATCTTAATTTTTGTTTAGTTAGGAGGCATTTACTATGCCTCTTTCGGTAAATTTTCAGAGAAGCGTGGCACCCTCTACGTGCTTGCAGAGAATACATGGAAATTTTAGAAGTTGTGGCTGACGATGATGAACCATTATGCCCGAAGCTTTTGTAGTGATTTCGAGTATTTGTCGACCTATTCGTTACGCGATTGGTATAGTGTGTCACCACGTTTTTCATTTGCTGTTCTAAAACGCTTTATTGCTCAAACTAACACGATAACTTTCCCGAAATCAAGCCTGCGTAAGGTAAGTTTGCAATGAAGTTTCTAGCACCGGCGTGGCTCTGCGAAATACTGTGCTTGCACGCATGGGGCCCTCGTACAAATGCCATTGTGTAGTTGGAGTTTTATTTATTTTTTAATTATTTTGTTATACAGTGGTTACTGCACACGCAGCCTTCGTAATCTCATGACAGACTTCACTGTAAAATACCATTTACCGAAATGCTTTTATTTATAAGCCACAGAGTGTTATTGGGACATTTTGGCAAAATGTCATTATCGAACTCCAAACGTGTGGCTTCACCGGACGATTTGACACCATCTACTGAAGAAACCTGGCACCCGCTTGCAGAATATCAAATACTCTCAGAAGCTACGGGTCATGTACTGCTACACTGTAACTCCACTAAAAGTGCAAGTTTTTTTGAAATCTACAAAGACGCCTCTGCTATGTAGAAATGGAAATTTGTTTGGCTGCTAGCTAATTTCATAAGATATGATTCTTTTCACCGATTCCACAGTTAGTTTTTGAAGACCACCGCTGTAACCAGCAATATACTGCTCTACGTGGCTATGTTACCAAATTGGTTCATCTGTCTGGCGCTTCCCCTTTCTCCCCACCTTTTCTGTTGAGTTCGGGATGCACTTTTCTTCATGGGGTAGGATAACCACCTGCTACATTATATCGTAACGAATGCCCACCTAGTGCCGTACCGTCATCAGCATATTATGATTCCTATTTTCCTAAGTTCCTGCTAGTACGCCTTTGTGTGAGTCTTTCCTATAACGCTGTTTTATAGGTTGTTATAAGTTCTTCGAGCATATTGGAGACACCTCAGGGTAAAAACATGGCATTTTACGCGCAATCTTGATTATAGTGCTAAGGGCACAAAACCAGAATAGAATATATAGTTTTTCTGCACAACTCCTAGCCCTACCAGGTTTCCAAATATTGTGCTATAGGATAGGTTATCCAAGGCTCCCGAGAGTTAAAGGAGGGCAAAGGTGGCTTGGTTGCGCAATTTTTTACGTGCCACCTCGGTTATCCTATTATGTAGCATAGATTGCATGAGTAGTTTTCGTATGAGCCTGACACGACGCGCCAGATAAGTAGTAATTGCATGTCCAGATGTTTAGTTCAACTTGACTGTCCCACATGCTACATCTGCCTGCCAACAAGTGATTCCAATAAGAAAGGTCTTAGATTTTGTATTTGAACATGGCTTCCTAACTTCAGATAAGAAGATTTTTGGTGGTCCTAAATTGGCGTGGAATATTTTTCCTTTCGAAGCAAGCTTTAGCATGCTTGATGAAGGCTGAGGCGGAGTGACCAAAAAGTTTTCAGGGTCTTTAATGCTTCAATGGGGTCGTAGAAATGATTTTTCGTTAAGGGTTTTTTTCATACTCAGGTTTTTCTCGGCTGTGGAGGGAGGCAGTGGTTCTCCTGTTGTATCTCCGAAGTACTACGTTAACCGTTTTTCGAAGGTTATTGGCGTCTTTCTGTATTTTCATTTGCTTTTTCGAAGCCCGTTTTGCAGTTGTGTTAGTATAAAAAGAAACGTCCAGTATTCTAGATTTTAGGAATTTCTTCGTCTTCCTCTCTATTGCGTTGCACGTACATGCTCAAATTTCAAGGCTTATTCTGTTCGCATATTGTCCAATTTCCTCTTTGAGAAAGGCAATTTCGTTTATTAGGTGGAGATGGCAAGCGTTTCCTTGTTGAACCTACATCGGGGCAAATATGCTCAATATTTTAAGAGAGCTGTTACATAGGGATGCAGAACGCAAAAATACGCCAAGAATGCAAAAATAAGCCATGAAGCCTTGAATACACGAAGGCAAGTGGTGATAAGTGTTGCCCCATCTTTATACTTTTTCTTGTGTATGGAAAGCTGAATGCAGAAACCTACACCTCAATGAAAATAATGTTAACGCGACCGAACCTTTGAATACACTTACTATTTTTGTTGAGGTTGCCGGTAATTAGGCACGTAATTTCTGCGTGAACAACATCAAAGGACTCCTGTGATATTGTTTGGTCTGGAAAACCTGGAAATAAAGAAGCTGTTTTTTAGAAGGAGTAGCAAACGATTGTTTAGCCACGCAAGTGCAGAGAAATCACTGTCACTGATTTTCTTATAAAAAGTACAGTTGATTGCATTCACCATGTTTTCGAGTGGTTCGACCGCATAGTTCGCAACCATTATTATATACATAGGCAGTACAGATAGTAGATGAATATAGCCCCAATTTTCGCATTTTTACAAAAATGCAGATTTTCAGGAGCAGGTATAACATTTGAGGCGTTTGTTTTGTTTAGGAGTTAAGACTATATACTTTGCCCTGTCACGGTGGTCTAGTGGCTGAAATACTCGGCTGCTGATCCACAGGTATCGGGATCGAATCCCGGCTGCGGCGGCTGCATTTCCGAGTTGAAATGTTGTAGGCCCGTGTGCTCAGATTTGGGTGCACGTTAAAGAACCCCAGGTGGTCAAAATTTCTGGAGCCCTCCACTACGGGGTCTCTCATAATTCTATGGTAATTTTGGGACGTTAAACTCTACTTAACAACCAGTCTACATATTTTAAGTGAGACTGAAAAAACTTGGTATACTGCTAGTGATAAGGTCAGGTGTGTCAAATCATTTTTCCGGTAAACTCCGGGCACCCATTGAGTTAAACCGAAAGTCAGCCAAAATCTACAGTGCCCAATATTGTCGGTACTCATGAGTAAAATGTGAATCTGGCCCCAATTCATTGCGACACTACATATTGCATGAAATTGTGCACTCAAGATACGTCAAAGCGACCATAAATGAAAGAGGTAGCATAACTTAACCAGATCATTCAGACCATCTTTTTAATTGTCTTGGTGTCGTATTTTGAGGCCTAGGCTTAATGGAATACTAGATTTTGAAAAGCAAGTGTTATTTATTAGCAGTAGATGCGCCCCTGTAGTGTGTCAGTAGGATTTTCTTCGATCAATTACGGCCAATCAATTGAATTTTCCCAACTTATCCTTTACACCTTCGTCTACAGAGTATTGTTTTAAACAATCCCGCCGAAAAGCAACTTGTCGTATGAATTGTCATTCGAGAAATTTTTCTAAGTGCCGAATTCTGAAACGAAAACTAGGCTTAATTTCAAGAGAAAAAAAAACATGGCCATTTCTCGCTTTCAAATTATTTGTAAACAAAATTTTGCTACTGGTGTTGTCACATGAAAAAAAGGCTATGAGAAAAAAATGAACTATACAATAGGCCTGCTTTAGTCAACCTTATCGAAACCACTAAAGCAACGTTCCACAGGCAATTATTACCTAAACAAAAACATGGCTCCGGTATTTGTTTACTTTGTTTTGTTGTTAATTCGATTACTTGTTTTAGTCTAAAAATAACAATTTTCTGTGGTCTGGTCATATTTCATGAAGGGCATGACGCTGTATGGCTGAACTATCAAAAGAGTATGAGGCTGGCTGTGCTGTATATTTCTGTGTTTCAAGGCTTTTATTCTTTGTGCTGCGAAATCTTTCTTTTTGCTTCATGAGATATTCAGTGTGAACACTGGAAGTGCCTAAGACAGGTTGGCCGACATTTACATAGGAGGACCATCTTTGTCGAAGGCGCCGTTTCATGCTTAGCGTGTTAGTTTTAAGGGGGCTAGTAGCGACGTCATCTCTGTTTGTATGTGCCGCCATCAGGAGATGGCATCACTACTAACTACCTTAAAACTAACATGTCAAGGATGACAGGGCACCTTTGAAAGAGATAGGTTTTTCTATGGGTACGTTGGCCAGCTGGTCTGAGGCACTTCCACTGCTCAACTTTATTATCCCTCTACGTCTTTTCACCTGTCGGATTCCATCTTGATATTAGATTTCGCTTCGTCAGTGTTTTAAAATGCAGAAAAACGAAAGTAAGCGTATTGAGCATGGCTGTATGCTACAGAAAAGTGAGAAATTCTAGAAGGCGACACATGATTCTAGCTAAGACGATGAAGGAGCGGAAGAAACGACGCAATTTTTAAAATATACTTTTTGCTTTATTTGATGCCTGCAACAGAAAAGAACACTGCTGGCAGTGCTCAAGGGTGCACCTGCTCCCAAGGAAATGCCATCTTTGATATCTGTGGTACAAAGCGATTTGTTCACTTGCTCGCCATGACAGTGTATTGCTCGAGTTTATAACGTGATAGTGTTTTTTCCGGGGTCCATCAAAACTTCAGTGAGCTATTTCTGTTAGACAAATCCCGTACAAAAAAAAAGAAACACGTTCAAATTACAAGGGAAACGTTGCATCACTGCCAAGTACACTCATAAACTCTGAGTACTCAATAACAGAAGCGCGGCACAGTTTCACTGTTGCATGTTGACATACTCTGGCATCTTTACAAAGGTGTCTTTTACTCTGACAAGGGTAATTGGTAGACGGGTTTGTGTCGAAGCCTTGGATCAGTGAAGTGATGTAACCTATAAAGTTCCCCGCCACGGTGGTGTAGTGGCTAAGGAAGTCGGCTGCTGACCCACAGGTCACTGGTTCGAATCGCGGCGGCGGCGGCTGCATTTCCCATGGAGACGGAAATGTTGTATGCCCGTGTGCTCAGATTTGGGTGCACGTTAAAGAATCCTAGGTGGTCGAATTTTCCGGAGCCCTCCACTACGGCGTCTCTCATAATCATATGGTGGTTTTGGGACGTTAAAACCAACATCTCATCATCAACCTATAAAGTGCGTGCCTCCACTATTAGCTACTAGAATTACCATTTCTACACATCCGTTCTAATTGACGTGATTCTAATTGGAGAAATGCAACTTTGCCAACGTCTATAGAATACCACGAGATGGCGATCTCAGCTCAAGCTTCGTTCTCGTTCTCGTCATTTATCCATACTGAAAATGATTGCTACAAGCGCCTGCCTCGCTTGGCTGCTATGCCAATACAACGACACTGGGTTCCTAGCTTCCGCTCATCTATAGACCGATCGCATTTAGGCAAAAGGAGAGACACCACGCGCGTTGCGTTTTTCTCAAGGTTTGTTGTGGTGTTTAACATAATGCATGAAGGCGACTTGAGGGGCACTTCTGCATGAGTCAGCGACGCTGGTATAGCTGTCACACCAGCTTTTATCTATAAGGCATCACCATTAACAACGACCCTACTGAAAGTAATAATTTCATCAGTGATCATAGACGTCGGTCGTAAGTATAAATATGCGCCACCAAGTGTCCACATGGGTGTATCCACGTTAAACGGTGCTATAGCTGCCGACCATTAGTTCACAAGGCACCAGGTCACTTATATAACTTTGAAATAATTGGTAAACTACATTTTTACGAACAAAATTTACTTTCATGTTATTTTAATTCTTATAACGAGAGGATACACCTTTTAATAATTTATGGGTTTTTTTAAGATCTCCCCAGCACACGCATGCACCGAGAGACTAGCAATTGATGACTTTTGAACCGGTGACATCATGTAAAGGCAGTGGCGGGCGGAGTTGCCTAACCTTCGACGCTACAATGAGGATGGGGCTCATACTATTTCATGATCACCGGGACGCACACCTCTGCAGTTGTAACTTCACCCCCAAAGACATAAACTTGTCGTATAAAGCTTATGAATATTTGTTCTGAATTTGCCTGTCCGTGTACTTCAGGCCGACACTCTAAAAACTGCAGAGGTTATCGCAGGAGTTAAAAGGCCAAGGAACCCTTGAAATTATTCCTCTGCTCTCGAAAAGCACCTTATAGAGTGAAATTTGTGGTCACTTGGTTTGAAACAAGAGAGTGAAAGAGCTTTCTACTCTACCTCACTTTACCTACCTCTACTTACCTCTACCAAGCTCTACCTCGCTTTAAAAGACTGAAATATTCATATACGCTCGAGGCATTACAGAGTAAAACGCTGTTACACTCCTGCTTTTGATTAGTTTTAGATGCGTCAGCACACGGCCAGTGATCAGCCCTACCTAATACCCACAGGTATGTGCAGCAAAACGTACTGCATTCGTTTTTTGAGGTTTTAGGGACAACTAACTGAAAGAACCGCCTTTCCACAGCACACCAGTGAGTTTCAGGGAAATGGAAGGCAATCGGAGCTCTTAGTATTCACATTTTTAGCTTCGGATCTGTGTAGTGAAGTAATCGATTACTATCTCATTCGGTCGGCCAAAATCTAAACTCAAAGCAAATTGCTACGACATTCTTCTTACATCAATACTCATGTTCTTTCGCGATGACAATCACACACTGGTGATGGCTTCATAAGCCTAACGTACGGTAAGGCTACTTTTATGTATTGGGTCTTCAGTCGTAGAACGTGAACAAGAATGAGAAAAGTATAATCGAGGGGGTGAAAAAAACTAAATTATTTTGTGTACAGCTCAGAAGTCCAATGTGTCATACGTAGAAGTGACTAACCACTTAAGGAGTTGGTGCAAATGACGTTCATATAATCAGTTGCACTAATTTTTCTATTCTTTCTGTAGAAAATGTGTCGAATACTCGTTCTTAACTCACAAAACACAGAACGAACATAGTAAACATGTTAGCTATAGTCTCTATGGTTGTGAGAAGCGCGGAGGCTCTCATACCTAGACTTCTAAAGAATAAAAAGGCAGAAATGTTCCCAACATATCTTATATGACATATAGAAATAAATAAGCCAGTCACCCTCTTTCAGTATGGTGTAGTGGCTGGCTTGTCGGGCACACTCGTTGCTGTGCGACAAGAAGTCGAAGATTCAAGTCCCACTCAGGATTGCTTTTTTACGTTGCACTTTCATTTTTTCTTTGTCATAGTACTCGTATTTAGCCGTACTTACGATTTGCGCGCGCGGGATCTATCAAGAACAACTAAGATACCAACATCGGCTTAAATTTTTGCTATCTTTTTTTGAAAGGCGTAATACTACTCTGCTTTGCGCTGCCCCATGTTTCTTTTTTTTTTGTTTAGGGCGTTGCTTTGACCCGTTCTGGGGGAATCACTGTGCTCTGCAGGCCTCAACCAAAGGTGATTTACGCTGGCAAAGAGAGTGAAATACG